GCCTGTGGTCCCAGCTACTCAGGAAGCTGAGGCAAGAGAATCACTTGAGCCCAAGAGTCTGAGGTTGCTGTGAGCTGTGATGCCGCAGCAGTCTACCAAGGGCAACAGCTTGAGACTCTGTCTCAAAAAAACAGACAGACAGACACATTCCCTACCAGTGAAAAACACAAGGGAAGGCGCAGAAAAAATCAAGAAAAAATTAAGAAGAAAGGGAACAGATTCCTACGGTACATGTCACGGTGCCCAGTGTCACCGGGACTACGGTACACATCAAGGTGCCCAGCGCCACCGGGACTATGGCACACGTCACTATGCCCAGCTTCACTGACTCGAAGTGTCATGATTAACGATTCAACTGACACTGAGCTGTCCAACGAGCCAGGGATCACAGGATCCCGAGATCACACAGCCGAGTGTCAAGCTCTTTGTCGCCTCTCAGCCTTCATGCCCTTCACCAGTTAGAGGAAATTCCATCTGTACCTGTTTCAGTAAAACTTTCATTCTCTCCCTCTTCTTCTGTAATTACGGGCATACTCAATCTCAAAGATTTATCTTCCTTATTTACATTCTGTACATTACCTGGAATGGAAAATAATTCTATGTGAAAATAAAGAATATTAATCTCTGATAAAACTTTTTATAGAAATAATGTATTACAACAACATAAAACTCAGATGTTTAAACTGGAAACTGAAATTGTAATGAAGAATAGAAATAGGTATTCTAGAATACAACTTTTTAAAGTATTAATATATTTTTATCTATGCTTTGAAAATAGTCTCTGATTCTTCCACTAAAATAAATAAAACAGAGAAAAAGGGAAAAAACAAAATTAGCCAGATGCCTTATTCAATCAAAGCAGGAGTTGTATCTGCAGAATAATCATGTGTGCTAGTTCAACTTTCTCAAATCAATCACAAATGTGATTTTAAGTTTAAAACCTTGTGTCTGAAGGCAGACACATTTTCCTTACCACATATGCTCAAGGAGGCATACTTCTCTATCCATAATTTGCTACTAACTTTCCATCTTCAAAAACACGGGAGGTTTTCTACATCACCTTCTCTCACTTGAAGAAATAGTCTAACCAAACTTACCAGATACCAGCATCACTCTGAGTGCCACTTAGCACATGACTCCCGTGTCCCCAAAGCAACCCCCATGCTTAGTCACTCTTTATTGCTTATGCTGCATTTTCTTCACTGCAACACTTTCATCATGTGATATACTGTATGTTAATTTGTATTTGTTAACAAATAAAACAAATATAAACAGAAGAGGCAGATGCCTCTTCCAACTTTGAGGGTAAGCACTACAAGTGCGATTTTGGTTTATTTACAGGATGTATCCCCAGCACTGTGGCATATAAAAGGGTCTGGCATTTAATGGGGTCTCAAATATTTACTAAACGTAGGTTCAGCTATTTTATAACACAATATTTCACAGAGCAGACATGTTACAGTGATAAGTACCTATCAACACAGGAAGGGAGAAGTTAAACAAAAGTGAATTAAACTTTCTGTTCTGAATATGTGTATGCTAGGATCGTAACTGGGTACAGATTTTATGGAATGAACAGTGTTCTAAGATGGAGCTGAGTAACTTTCATTTTAAATACAATTCAATCTGAATAAAATAATACCAATTTCCCACAAAGTAACTAAACCATTTTACCCTTTACTTGCAACTTCTAAATATTATGTAAAATCTTTTCTTACATGATGTTTAAAATGATAGATAATCTTTTAGGAAAATTTTTTCTATAGCTAAATAATCATAGTTATTTTTTAGACAGTGAACCTATAAACTTTTCAGTTGTGTACAAAATTAGAATCACTATCATCTGCCCAGAATTATTAATATTGTTCTTCGCAACTGTTTAGCCATGTCCGTCTATATCAATACTAATCATTTTTAAAAATCCTTATTTACAACCTAATAGGATCTAAGCAAGAATGTCAAGGCAAGGATTTCTAAGTTAAAAACTAACAGCTAAAACACAAAGCTTCATCTAGTAACATCACAATTTACTTTTTTCTTTTTTTAAGAGATGGAGTTTCGCTCTATCCCCCAGGCTGGAATGCTGTGGCACAATCACAGCTCACCGCAGCATCAAACTCCTGGATTCAAGCTATCCTCTTGCCTGGGCCTCCCAGACTGCTGGGATTACAGGCTTGAGCGACCACATCCAGCCCTCTATTTTATACATCTATTTCTACACTAAATTAATCAATGTTATCTAAAGAATAGATATAATGTTTCATCCACCAAGAATGCAGCTGGGAACCATGAAGAAAACGCAGAAAACTTCAGGACATTTACTTCCAAGTTTGCTTACTAAATAATATTCATGAAATTTTACATGGAAAGTTACAGGTATATTCCTCAGGCCTTTATTCAGAACCTAATTACATTTATTATACAGAAGACTGAAAAGGTCAACCAGTTTCCTGGACCATTACAATTTAGAAGCAGCAAATAAGTAAATGAAATTGCTACATACCCGCACACTCAGAACAGACACCTCCACAGTAAACGGGACAGAAAAACTATCAACAACCCTGACAGGAAAGGGAAGGAGTACTCAGCTTAAAGACCAACTGCCCCCACACTCAAGCTATTTCTTGATGGGATCATTATATTATAAAACCCAGTAAAATAATATGCTCATGATGACAACTATGAGTCATCAGGAGAAAACTAGATTATGTTCAGAATAGTGTTCCAGAAAGTGATAAAGCATAAAATTTATTTTATCTTAATTATGTTTCTCATTATGAAAATGATAAATGGCTCAGGCATGATAGCTCATGTCTGTAATCTAAGCACTTGGGAGGTGTAGGCGGCTCACTTGAGTCCACGAGTTTGTGACCAGCCTGGGCAACACAGCAAGATTCTGTCTTTACGAAAAAGTTCAAAATTAGCCAAGTATGATGGTTCATGGCTCTAATCCCAGGTACTCAAGAAGATAACCTGAGCCCAGGACTTTGAGGTTGCAGTGAGCTGTGATTGTGCCACTACACTCCAGCCTGGGTGACTAAGCAAGACTCTGTCTCTTTTAAAAAAAAAAAAAAAAGGAGGGGGAGGCATTAAAAAAAGGAATATAATACATTTTACAAAGGTATCAAGCAGATTAAGTTTTTAAAAGTATGTTGTGAACTTTTAAAAATTAACACACAAAACTAATTCCGCAGAGGGTGTCAGGTAGCTAGTTTTACTATGCTCAAAGCTGAATGTAGGAGATGCAATAATCAGTAATACCATTACTTACTATCAAAACAAATGATTACTAGATACACAGGTAGAATACAACTAAGAATAAACTTACATAAGTGTGTGTCTAATTAAGCTCCAGACAAACATCTATAATGACTGACAGGTTGCAGCACTACAGCAGACTGGGCCTAAGAGTCAGACACACTCTCACTTGAATCTCAGTTCTGCTAGTTATTAGCTAGGTAACCTCGGACACCTGAGGAAAAGTTCAGCAGCTAAGTTTTACATCAGCAGTAGCTGCCATCATCTGCACTGCCACATCATAACTATTACTGGTGTCCTTCTGGCAACATGCTTGTCATATTCAAGGAATGGTACACACATAACTGAAGTTTAAAGAATACAAACTTAAGTAAATTCAATCCATCCACTGAGCACCTGTTTATGAGCCAGACTATTACAGAAATGAGCACTGAGTCTGGAAAGGCAGACTGGGCACATCCCCCCAAATGAGTCCTTATCGTGTCATCACATTTCTCCAACATTAAAGACACCCTCCCCACTGCTCAGACATTCGCATTCTTGCCTCACCCCTCTCCGTCAGCCTCCCTATTTGGGCTCCTCTGTTAGCCTGCTACTCTGGTTCCCATAGACACCTGCCCAGACACAACTCACTCCTTAACCTTTGGCTTCATGTTCCTGTTTTCAATCTGTTCCCATCTACCCACCACAATACGCTCAGATTGATTGTCTCCAAGGAAAACTTTGGTAAGGCCACTTTCTTGCTCAAAAGTTTTACAGGACTCCCCTCTGCCTACCAACTGATGTCTAAACTTCTTCATTCCACATTCAGGCCTGGTCACAAGACAATCCTCAGTGTAGTTTTCCAGCATTAATAGTTAACTCCTCAACACATTCTTCATGCTCTAGCCTCTGTCTTAAGTCTATGGAATTATTATATTTATCTTATTTTTTAAAAAAGTCGATGGATTTCATTCTGATTGCTGAAGTGGCACACAGTTATATAAAGTTCAAACATTACAGAAACTCATGGACTTGACAGTTACTCATTATCCCATCCCTGAGAATTAACCACCGCTAATACTTAATATAGGTACAAATCTCTTCAATGTGTTTATGTATGTATACATTTACTTATTAATGAAAATGGCATCATATTCCTCTTTTAAAAGCCTTTTTCACTAAGCAAAGTATTGATACAGTTTAGATATCTATTTTCACATTACTATAGAGAGAGCTTGCTCCAACTTTTAGGAGGAATACTACAAAGCATTCCTTTGCATGTAGTTACAATTTTTCCTACTCAATTTTTTAACATTATACAATTGAGTTGATTCTGGTCTTTGTCAATTCAAATAATCCTACAACATGCTTGTGTATAAGTTATTTGTATAGGATAAATTCCTAGCAATTGAATTGCTAAGTTAAAAACATGCACATTTAAAATGTTGACACATTCCAAGTTGCTGTCTGAAAAAGATGTGCCAATTTCCTCTTCCGCTTAAGCTTAGAGGTTTTATTTTTACGTTTTCACTATCAATGGGTTATCCTTAATCTTTGCTGGTCTAATAAGTGATATCAAAATCAAATGTTTTAATTTATGTATTTTTTTAACTTACAAAGAAAAACTCATTTCTCACAATTCTGGAGGCTGGGAAAGCCAATGTCAAGATGCTGACATCTCGTGGGGGCCTTCTCTCTCTCTTTTTTTTTTTGGCTAGGGCTGGGTTTGAACCCGCCACCTCTGGCATATGGGACCGGTGCCCTACCCTTTTGTGCCACAGGCACTGCCCTCCTGAGGCCTTCTCACCACTTCATCCCGTGGGGGAAGGTGAGAGCTGATTTATAATTCTTTAATTATTGGTGAAATTAAATCTCTCTTCATATATGCATTGACTGTTTGCATTTTGTGACTGCCTATCTGTGTACTGAGCCCATTTTTCTATTGGATGATGGCCTTCTTCTTTTAAATCTCTTCTAAAACTAGAAACCTTAACAGTATCATCTGTGCTACAAATGATTTTGCAAGATGTTTCATCTTTTATGGAATATAGGCTCCTCTTTTTGAAAAAAAAAACCATGAAATCAAAAATACTCTTTCCGCTGTAAGGAAATAAATTTTTGATTAAAGAGAAACTCTGAAATAAGCACTTAGGTCTTTATTATTTAGGTAATTACTTCTGTTTCAGAGTATTTACAATACCTATGAGCTACAAGGTCAGCCAGCTGGAACAGCCAAGCTATCAAGGATGATCTGAATTAATAGTGTATTTCCTTCTCCTTTTTCATGAGTTAAATCTTCCCTGACACCTGGGCAATTCAATAACAAATCTCAGGTGTGCCGAGGAGACTGTCTGTAAGTTAATTTCAGAGTTCACAAAACAACTGATTTCTCTAACTACATTATGTCCTAAGACACAGCTGATGAAGACCTGTGACACGTTAGAGATTTTTTTTAAACTTCATCTAATTTCTTTCCTGTCTTACTCTTGTTCCTCCTTTGTTCCTCAACCATAGAACAAAAATCTGGTTTTCAGGTGTTTCAGAAAGCAGTTTGACCAGTTAATCTCCTTGCCACACCTATAGGAAAGTTATTAATAAAAAGTTGTGTGGATTTCTAAATGTTAAGTACCTCTGGTAATTTAGAACGAAGCATTTTAATGTGCCAGAAAGTAATTTTTTAATATAACCAAACTGAACAAATCTTTTCCTCATATCCTCTGGTTTTGTTTTGGTTTGGCCGTTGGTCAGATTAGGGGTTGGGAACTTGTGGCCTGAAACCCACATGTGGCCCTCCAGATCCCCAAGTGCAGCCCCTCAGCCAAGTCCAAACATCATCGAACAAATCCCTTTATTAAAAGAGATACAGCAAGGAAAAAATGAAGCTTTTCCTGCCTCCACTGGTGCTTAAAGAAGAACAATCTGGAAATCAGGCCACAGGAACTGGGACTATAGACATGTACCCCAACTCCCAACTATTTTATTCCTTTTTTTTAATTTTTAGAAACCAAGGTCTCACTATGTTACCAGGTCTGGCTCCAGGCATCCTCCACCTCAGCCTCCTGCACAGCTGGGAGTACAGGCGCAAGCCACAGCACCAGGCAAATTCACCATTTTTACAGATCTAGTAGCTTTGACAAATGCATGGTCATGCAGTCAAAACACAGAATATTTCCATCACTCCCAAAATTTGCCTTGTGGATCTCTACAGTCAACACTTTCCCCGGCCCTCAGACCCCAGCAATCACTCGTCTGTTTTCTGTCCCTACAGATCTGCCTTTTCCAGAATATCATATAAATAGTACCATAGGCCATGCAGCCTTTTGTATCTGCTTCTTTCACAAAGCACCAGGAACGTGAGATTCACCATGTTTTACGTTTATCAGTCGTTTCTTTACTATGAGTAGTAGTTCACTGTGTGAGTATCAGATGAAGAAAGTTTAGACTGCAGTTTTTGCAATTATGAATGATACTTTTTCATATAAATTTTTATGTGAAAATAAGCATTCACTTCTCGTGGGTAATCATCAAGGAACAGTACTTCTCTGGGCCAAACAGCAAAGCTATCTTTACTCTCTCTCTCTATGCGCACACACATACACACACTATGCACTGAGCTGCCAGTTTTCCAAAGTGACCACCTGTCTGGATTACCATCAGAAATGCATGAAGAGCCCACTTGTTCCAAATCCTCACCAGCTTTCATTACTGCAATTTTTTTTTGTTTTGTAGGGGTTTTTCCTGTTTCTGAAGCTATTCAGGGTATAATGCAGGGGTCCTCAAACTGTGGCCTGCCAAGGACATTTATCCTGCCCGCTGGGTGTTTTTTGCTGCTGCTGCCTGTCCTGCTTAGCAGCTGACTTGTCCCAGGGCCCGCAGTCCGGCCCTCCAATGGTCTGAGGGACAGTGAACTGGCCCCTGGTTTAAAAAGTTTGAGGACCCCTGGTATAGTGGAATGTCACTGTGGTTCTAATTTTGATTTCTCTAACAACTGAAGATCCTGAGGATGAAATGAAATGTTTTATCATTTAGTGAAATGTTTTACCTTTTTTCACCGGTTGGGTTATTAATTTTAAGAGTTCCTTATATATTCTGGACATAAGACTTTATCAGGATTGTAGTTTACAAAATTTTTCTCTCAGTCTGGTATATAAATTTCATTTTCTTAACAGTGTCTTACAAAGACAAAAATTTAAATTTTGAGGAAGCCCATTTATCAATTTTTTTTTAATGGCTTATGTTTTTCTGTGTCATATATAAAAAAAATTTTGCTAGTTGGATGCGGTGGCTTATACCTATAATCCCAGCATTTGGGAGGCCAAGAGGGGTGGACTGCCTGAGCTCACAGGTTTGAGACCAGCCTGAGCCAGAGTGAGATCCCATCTCTAATAGCTAGGCATTGTGGCGGGCACCTATAGTCCCAGCTGCTTGGGAGGCTGAGGCAAGAGGATCACTGGAACCCAAGAGTTGAGGATGCTGTAACTAAGATGCCACAGCACTCTACTGAGAGTGACAAAGTGAGACTCTGTCTCAAAAAAAAAATTGCCCAACCCAAGAACAGAAACATTTTTCTCCTATGTTTTCTTTCGTAAGCTTATAAGTTTAGGTTTTATATTTATGACTAGGGTCCATTTTGAATTATTTTGTGTATATAAGGTTTGATATACAAAACCTTTTGGATACAGGTGTGAAACTGTATCAGCACCATTTGCTGAAGACTATTCTTTCTCCACAGAATTGTCTTTACATGTTTGCCAAAAGCTAAAGGGAAACAAGGTTTACAAACTGCTTACTTATATCTTATTCTACACAAAAGTTTGATTCACACATAAAATTTATTAATGAGGTATGCGGTGGATAATTCTAGACTGTTTCCCTAATTCTCTAGCTATAATATATCGCCTTGGACAAGTTACTTAATTTGTATGAGCCTTTCATCATCTATGAAATTATATAATTCAATATGATTTCTAGGTTCCCTTTTAGTAATAAGATTTCAAGAATATAAGAATTTATTTTTAATATTAAATCTCATGAATATTCTCAAACAAGTATTTATATGTATAATATACCATGGAATACTATTCAGCTATTAAAAAAGGAGACTTTACAGCCTTTGTATTAACATGGATGGAAGTGGAACACATTATTCTTAGTAAAGCATCACAAGAATGGAGAAGCAAGAATCCTATGTACTCCATTTTGATATGAGGACAATTAATGACAAATAATGACATGGTGGGGGTAGAAGGGGAGAACAGAGAGAGAGGAGGAGGGAGGAATGGGGAAGGGAATAGCAGAGAGAGGGAAGGAGGAAGGGGGGTGGGGTCTTGGTGTGTGCCACACCCTTTGGGCTCAAGACACGATTGTTGGGACTTTACCTAACAAATGCAATCAGTGAAATCTAGTTTCTTATACCCTCAATGAATCCCCAATAATAAAACAGAAAAAAAAAGAAAGAAAGAAAGGCAGGAGGAAGTTATATGTATATAAGACCCATTCTCCTTGTTGAATCTTAGACATTGACGTTACCTTTGGGGACACAATTATAAGGGGGACTTTATCTAACAAACGCCATCAGTGTAACCTAATTCTTTGGACCCTCAATGAGTCCTAACAATAAAAAAGAAAACCTACTCTTGTTTCTGGAAGACACCCTCTTTGCTGCTGGTCTCGATGTCTCCTTGCCCCTTTTTTTCCTAGGTGCTTTGGTTTGTCCTTGACCAGATGCAGAGTCAGAGTCAGAGGAGTCCCGTTTGACTTGACGATGCCTTCTTGATTTGGATGCCTTCAGAGTCAGAAATCCAATTAACCACAATAAATTACAAAATGAACACAACTGACTAGTTAAAGAAAAAAGACAAAAGTGAGGACGACTTTACAGAAATATCTGTCTTTTAGTATTACCGCATTGGCTGGCTTACTGTAATTACTTGTGCCATGTAAATGGTCTTCTATCTTTATAACGTGGTAAGTTCTCGGCAGCTACCCATCATATTGCATTAAAATGAAGTTGTTTTAGTATGTGGCATGGTTGGGAAATGGAAGCATAAAGACAAATCCTATTCCTCATAAACATTCCTCTCCTCTAATAATAACTATTTCCTTTAGGCACCAGGTGTTTTGAGGGAACTACTTCATGCCTGGCTCCAAGGATGGCCGCGTGGCCCAGATCGGGTGAAAGCGAGTTCTGTATTCCCACGGCTCTGGATCTGTTCCACCGTGATTTGGGGGTGGATATGTGATCCACAGCATAACTAATGGAATGCTATTTTACAACGATTTTAACTATCAGAGAGGAAAAATTCTTTCCTGCCATTGAACCTAAACCTGGGAACATGCAAGGCGGGGCTGTCAAGAGGACACTTTACGACGGTAAAAACAACGGAGGTGACAGAGGAAATGGAGGGCCTCTCCTTACTAAAGGGTTCTCTGCTTGAGGCCAGTTAGCGAAGGTCTGTCTTATGACATCAGTCAGAGAATTCCCTTATTTACTGAAGCCAACAGTTTTAAGTCAATGCTATATCCCATATAGGTATTAACAATTCTCAAAAAGCAACCACGTAGGGTGGCACCTGCGGCTCTAGGAGTAGGGCGCTGGCCCCATATACCAGAGGTGGCAGGTTCAACCCCAGCCTTGGTCAAAAACAGAAAAAAACAAACAAACAAACAAAAAAAAAACATACAGTCATCCCCCGGAGTTACAGGGGATGGTTTTAGCATTTCCCACAGTACCCAAATCCACAGATGCTAAAAGTTCCTAATATAAGATGATGTATTATTGGCCTATAACCTATCCACTTCTTCCTATATACTTTAAATCATCTCCAGATTACTTATAATACCTTATACAACAGAAAAACTATGTAAATAGTTGTTATCTTGCATCGTTCAGGAAACAATGACAAGAAAGTGCTGATACATATTCAGTACAGATGCAATTTTTTTCCAAATATTTTCAATCCATAATTGGTCAAATATTACAGCTCCAGAAACCACAGATGCAGAGGCCAACTGTACTGCATGTCAACTGTACCTCAATACAACGTAAAAATCACAGCCAAGTAACAACATACATATATAACAAATTATAGGGAACATAATTATTTAATGACTTAGGAAATCATTTCAGGCTCAGCTATCATGGCTCAGTGGCTAGGGTGCAGGCCATATGCACCGGGCTGGTGGGTTTGAGCCTGGCCAGGGCCTGCTAACCAACAGTGACAACAATAACAAAAAAATAGCCAGGCATTGTGGCAGGCACCTGTAGCCCCAGCTACTCAGGAGGCTGAGGCAAGAGAATTGCTTAAACCCAAGAGTTTGAGGTTGCTGTGAGCTGTGACACCATGGCACTCTACCCAGGGTGACACAGTGAGACTCTGTCTCAAAAAAAAAAAAAAAGCACAGACTGTATGACTGTATCAAAG